TAATATGTGATTCTAACTCTAATGTGGTTACTAATGCAACAAATAAAAGAGAAGAAGACAAGTTCGAATTTGAAGCAATTATTCAACATTGTCGTCAGCTTTTAAATTTAGTTTATTGGGAGATGCACAAAAAGAGTCAATCCATGCACCGACAAGATGATCAGCTTTCCATTAAGTCCTGAATAGATAAGTTGTCTGCGGTTAATCTATCTGTATAGGTTAAGAAAATTTTTGTTTGCAAGAACTTTTTATAAATAAATAAAACATGTTTCTTAATCGAGATGGACATGTTTAGAAAAAACTTATCTTTAAAACTCTTCACCTGTAAATTTACTGAATAAATCACTTTTTATACCATTAATCCACACCCAAATAGTTACTTTATTTCAATTATATCTTTTAATGTGATGGAGAACTATAATTTCATAATAGGATGCTGTAATGGGTTATTCCATTTAATTCAAAAAATTTATTCACTTCTGGTACACCGAGATCTCATAACCAATTCAATTCCATGGATGAGAGCCGGCGTCAACCTCCGGTACCGAAAACAGTGGTGGTTTGCGGTGGAGGAATCATCGGAGTTTGTACGGCTTACTTTTTAGCCAAGAAAGGCATCGCCGTAACGCTCATTGAGAGATCATCCATAGCCTGTGCCGCATCGGGCAAAGCCGGCGGCTTCCTCGCACTTCATATGTGGGACGATGGTCCCCTCTCATCCTTGGCTTGTGTCAGTTTCAATCTCCACCGTTCACTCGCGGAGGAACTCGACGGATCTCGATCCTACGATTACCGTCCACTTACTGCCCTCACCGTCTCCGTCGACGAATCGGAACCACCACTCAGATGCCCTATTCTCCCGCCGTGGGTAAACGGCCGAGTTAAAACCGAAGAAATCATTGGTACGACGGAGACCAAAGCCCAAATCCAGCCGCAGCTGTTCACTCGTGGCCTACTAGCCAAGGCGGTGTCGGAGTATGTGGTGGAGGTTGTGACGGAGATAATGGAGAGTATGGCGGCGGAGGAAGAGGGTATGGTGGTGAAGGTGGATGGAGGTGGAGTTATCGGTGGGGACTGGGGATGCAGTGGTTTCGGCTCTTGGGCCGTGGACTAGTAAGTTGACTGAGTATCCTCTATATTTAGGGTGTATGACTGATGGTCCGGCCTGGGACCGGAACCGGAACCGGGACTGGCCCAGCCCGATTTTTGAAAACTAGCCGTTTTTTCTCTAAAATTAGCCGTTTATGACCGTTAGAGCTGATTTTTAACCGTTTTTTGACCGTATTTTTTAATCTTTTTGGCCTTCAAAACCATATATATAAGTATATGGATTATGGATTTACATATCAACTTATAAAACGTAAAAAAAAGTTCACAATTCTCAGTTTCTCGTTATCTTTTGTGACTTCGGTTCATATTCGTTTCTCGCTTCCACTTCACAATTCTCATTTCTTTTTCTCTCTATCATACAAAATGGCCAGTGAACAACATAATGTATCAAACGAACAAGTTGTCCAAGTTCTTGCTGAACACGGACGAAAGTCCGAGATTTGGAATTCATACAACTTGGTGATCCTCACGAATGGGGAAAGAAAGGCACAATGCAAAATGTGCCAAGCTTTACTAACGTTGGAAGAAAATTCTACTTTAAGGCGGCATACCGGAAAAACATGCCCGGGGTTGAGGTCGGGGCCCGATTCAAGCCAACCGATACTTGACACTCAAGGTCAAATATGGTCGTTTGATGCCGAGTTGAACCGACAAATGACAACACAATGTGTTATTCAAGTCGGTTTGCCTTTCGGACATTTCGACAACTCTCACGTTACAAAGTTGATCCAAAAAACACTACAACCACGATACAATCCAGTAAGTCGTCAAACCCTTAGACGTGATGCAATTAAAATGTGGAAAATGTGTCGAGGTGAAATGCAACAAATGTTTTCTCTTTTGCCTAGCAACGTTTCTTTAACGTGTGATGTATGGAGCGCATCACACGGAGTGCCGGTTTCTTATATATGCATAACGGCACATTGGATTGAGCCGCAATCGTGGCATTTATTCAAACGTGTAATCGCGTTTGAACAGTTTGGTGCGCCACATTCGGCTGAACGCCAATTTTCAGTTATTAAAAAATGTCTTGCATTTTATGATTTATATGCTAAAATAATTAACATTTCATTTGATAACGCTAGTAATAACAATCTATGTGTGGAAAAATTAAAGTGTCATTTGACACCTATTTTAAACGGTAAATTATTTAATACATGTTGTTTTGCACACATAATAAATTTAGTCGTTCAAGACGGTTTAAATACTTGTAAACCCGTAATAGATAAGTTTAGACTTATGTTGCAGCGAATTTTCACAAATAGTAAGAAAATAAATGCGGAATATAGAAAATATTGCAAAAACGTTGGTTTTAAAGCTTTGGGACCAATGTTCGATATACCCGTTAGATGGAATTCGACTTATTTTATGATTGAAAATTTGATAAAACAAAAAAATTATATTTTTTCATTTTATACACAATATTACCGCAAAATTCTATTGGAAATCTTGATTGGGCTGTGGTTGAAGGATTATACGATATTTTAGGCGATTTTAAAAATGCGACAACACTTTTATCCGGTATTTATTATCCAACAAGCCCTTTACTTTTAAATCAATTATACATTTTGGCAAGCAAGATTGCACGATACGAAAACCATTACGATTGGGGAAGTTTGATGAGTTCAATGAAAAAGAAATTGTTAAAGTATTTTATGAACATCCCATTTTCTTTTCTATGTGCTGCGGCGTTAAACCCGTATTTAAATGTTATCGGTGTTGAAGCTTTAATTACACAAATATGTGTGGCATTTGGTTTAGATACGGCTACGGATAATTCTTTTTCAACAGAACAAAGACGTTTGTTTAATCGTAATTTTCAAGATTTATTTGATCATTATAAACATTTTTATGGAGGAGGAAACAAACAACAAAGCTCTTCAAGTAGATTTGATAACGATTTGGATGAATTAAATATATATGTGCATACTAACTTTGTGACCGCATGCCCCACAAATGATGTTGAAGATTTCGAAAAAATTGATCTATTAGATTTTTGGAAACAAAAGCAACCTCAATTCCCGTTTTTGGCATGCATGGCACGTGATATACTAACAATTCAAGCTAGTACCGTAGCTTCGGAGTCTGCTTTTTCTCTTAGTGGCAGGATTATTTCGGTACGTCGGGCAAGACTAAGCCCGGAGTCCGTGGAGTGTTGCATTTGTTTGAAGGATTACTTGGATAGTGTTTATAGAATTCAACACACGACATCGTTAGAGGTGGAGATTGAAGAGGTGGAAGCAAATTTGGAAGAAAATGAAATCGCCATGGAACTAAGCACACAACCAACTACAGATACCGACGACACTTATTCTCAATATGACGATGATGAAGAGCTCGACATTGATGACCTTGATGACCAAGAGGCTATTAAAAGATTTCAAGAGACTGGAAGTCTTCAAATCAATCCGACATTGGATACCGATGATGAATAAGTGTATATTCAAATAATTGAATATTTGAATGTAATTTTAATTTTATTAAAAGGTATTTTAAAGTGTATTTAAGTGACTCAATTACAAATTTTTATAATATATTCAAAAAAAATATCATTAAAAAACTAATAAATTAATTTTTAGAAAAATATTTTTCTTGGGTACGGACAGGTTACCCATAACCGGTTATGGATCAAGTTAAACGAGCCCGAGTAGGGGTGTTCAAAAAAACCGTTGGACCGTTCAAACCGGCCGAATCAAGTCAAGCCAGATCGTTTTTGGCGGTTTGGGCAGTCTGACGGTCCGGTCTGGTTTGGAAAATAGCAAAACCAGACGGTCCGGTCTGCGGTTTGGAACCTTTTTTGGGAGGTTTGAAACCTTTTTTGGGCTGTTTGGACCAAACCGACCGCCAAATACATTTATTTATTTATTTATTTATCTAATTTAATATTAGCAACCCAACTTTTTAACTTATTGACTATGACCCAAATATATCTCTAAGCCTAACATCTAACAAAATCAAAATCGAAGCCTAAAACCATTAAACCATTGAACATATCGACGCATTTGATATCGACGATCTCCAAATTTTGAAATCCTTCAAAAACTCCATCAATCTATTGATCTTTCTAATCTATGGTTTGATTTCAGTGCACATCATCAAGTTATCAACCAAGTGATTCAATGAACTTAGATTTGGCTTCTATTTTGTTTGGTCAAGAACTCAAGACTCAAGAATTGAACCATTGAAGATGTGAAGTCGTGAATTTTGTTACTCAATCAATACTCACAGTAGAGTTGTAACTTTGTTATTTTCTTTGTTTTCTTATTTGTTATATATTTATTTGTTTGTACTTTGGATTGCTTCAACTTTATACTCAAGAGCTGCTTAATTATTACATTTATTTGTTTAGATATTTTGTCTTGTTAAAATGGATAATTTAATCTAAAATTCAAAATTATATATGTTTTTTAAGTTTAATATTTAAAGTCCATTAAAGGCCCAAACCGCCTAAACCGATCAGACCAGACCACTTTTTCGTGGTCCGGTTTGACTGGTCTGGGCGCTTGATGTCAAACCGCTCGATTTGAAATTTTTATAAACCGTCATTATGGTTTGGTTTGTGGTTTGAGGGGTTAAACCGCCAAAACCGGACCACGAACACCCCTAGGCTCGAGTTTGATGACCGGGACAAGGACCAAAGTGATGCTCATGACCGGGACCGGTTACATTTTTTAGACACAAAGACCAGTAAAATGCCCAAACAGTTGGCTAATTTGCTCATATTTGAAAAAGAGGGGTTTATTTAGAAGTGGACATGGTTGTTTGGGTATTCTCTGGTCCAGCCACCGGTGCCGCAATGGTGGTAATGCTACCATCGTTGATCTTAATTGCTTCAGTCCTGCTAGATTTGTTAGAAGCCAAATCTGATTCTGAATTATGATTTTTTTTATGTGGATTTACTAATTCATCGCAATGGGAAGTGAAAAAGTCGTTTAACATCATCACACAATCAGTACATTAAAGAAACAAGTAGCAACAAAACCTTACTAGTTGTATTTCTAATAAATACTAAAGCAAAAGGGAATCAGATGTGTGTATTTGTAGTATTGTCCCATGTACCTCAAAGATCTGCTCTTCCTGGATACCTTGGAAAGGGAATTACGTCCCTAATATTGTCGATTCCAGTTGCAAAAAGAATCATCCTCTCGAATCCTAGACCGAACCCACTATGCTTCACGGTCCCATAGCGACGCAGGTCAAGGTACCACTCGTATGGCTCAAGTGGCAGTCCCATCTCAAGAATCCTGCAAAATCCATTTAGATTGTTGACAATAAAGCTTAACAAACAAGAAGTTGGTTAAAATACAAGGTCTACCGCCTCCTACGTTCTTGTTGGATATAGACTCACCAAGGACTCTCTTCCGATCGATCTAACCAAGTTTCAAAATTTCCTATTTGATACCCATTTTACTTGATAACTTGCTGGTATTTGTAACATTTAATGACCATGGATACTCATTAAAGGTTTTGAAAAAGGGTTACAGCTAAAACTTGACATTCACGTCATTGTTAGAAGATCAGCAAGTTACCCATAAAAATGGGTAAAAATAAGAAACATTTGCAACTTCTACATTAAATAGAAAATTTTCGAACTTTGTTACACTGATTGAAAAAAAAAAATCAAAGTTGCACTACATATGAACCAAGGCAAACTTAATTGCATTTTGATGCATTTTACCCTCGTAAAAAGAGAGAATTAGATTGGTGTTGTCTACTTGTCATACCTTTCTTTGATGATCTCATAATTCTCCTCTCTTTGGCTTCCTCCAATTAGTTCACCCACCTATTGAAAAACACAGAATATTAAAGCATCCTACTTAATATTTGCATGTTCCAAAGTTATTGCTATACGATTCGACATAAACAAGTTTTGCTCTAAAAAGCATATCCAAGAATCCATCAAGAAAAAACCGACCTTTGGCACAAGAACGTCCATAGCAGCTACTGTTTTGTTATCGGGGTTGACTTTCATGTAAAATGCTTTGATCCCCTTAGGATAGTTATATACAATCACAGGCGACTCAAATTTGGTCTCTGTCAAGTATCTACGCGGTGCAAGATCATGAAATTAGTTATATACAACAAATATAAAACATGTACTAAGAATAGCAAAATCATACTTTTCATGTTCTGATGCCAAATCAATTCCCCATTCTACTTTGTTCTCAAACTTGTGGCCTTTAGAAACAGCTTCCTCGAGAATTTTAACTGCTTCTGTGTATGAAAGGCGTATGAAGTTGGTTGAAGCAACCATTTGTAGCCGTTGAATAGCTTTTTTATCAAACTTTTCAGCCATAAATTCCATATCATCGTAACAGTTGTCAAGTAACCATTGGCATAGAAACCTAACATATGCCTCTGCACACTTCATATCATCCTGCATAAGTGTAAGAATGTGTATTTAGCAAGGTTTAAGATAAATATCAGTCTGCTCAAAGTGACTATAGATTGATATGATTGATGTCCAAAAATGTCATGAGAAAATCTTAATGATGGTTTGGAAGTGAATTTAGTGTTTCATGTTTCTAAGCATGTAAATATTGTTCATACAAGTTCCAAACATCCATTTCTTGACTTCAAAAGGAAATAAGGGTGCGTACAGGACCAAAACTTGTTGTCCCATGTTTAGTGTGGGACATTAAGACCAGGAAAGGACAGGACTGACCACCAAAATAGGTGGAACAAAAATCAGGGGGATGGGACAAGATTGGTAATTGCTAAACTACCCATGTCAAAATTAAAACCCTAACACCTTGCACAATTCTTTCACCCGCCTACCTCTCTCTCGCCCATCAAGTCCTGTTTGCATACCAAAAGCAGACTAAATGACTTGACCCCCTCTACAATAAATTGTTCACATACTAATTGATATCATCTATCATTATCAAATCCATACTTCAATAAATAGAGGCATTATGATAAGCCTTATACCTCAATATCCGCAAAAGCTATTTCTGGCTCAACCATCCAGAATTCGGCAAGATGCCTTGAAGTATGAGAATGTTCAGCTCGGAAAGTTGGCCCAAAAGTGTAAACACTACTAAGTGCACAAGCAAAAGTCTCAACTTGAAGTTGTCCCGAAACAGTTAGAAACGCCTGACGGGCAAAAAAATCTTGACCATAATCAACCTTCCCATCCTTCTTAGGAATACCAGGTTTTTGGTTAAATCTCTCTTCAAGCTTTGAAAGATTCTCTTTTGCTTTAGTAAGTTCCGCAACTGCAGCTGTTATTACAGATTTACCAGCTTTATCAGACTTCAACTTGGCAACTATTTCACCTTTTTCCTTGACAACACCCTTGGCCATATCCACTTCTTCTTGGGATGGAGGAGGATTTTTTATCAGTTCTTTTTCCAACTTTTCTGCTTCATTAATCAGAGTTGTGACCTGAAACATCTCTCCAGCACCTTCACAATCACTGGTGGTGATGATTGGAGTATGCACGTAAAGAAACCCGTGCTTTTGGAAGAATGTGTGAGTTGCAAAAGCTAGTGCATTACGAATTCGAGCAATAGCAGAAATCTGAAACAGTAATAGAACAGATTATGATCAGTAACATTTTAAGAAAGAATTGTAAGTTGGAATAAAATACCAAACTGTTAAAGTGGGTGCTTCAATACGTTACTGACACTGCAGACGATATTATCACGGTAATCTAGAAAAAGAATGGCATTCATTTCATCAAAACGAATAAAGACCTTCATATCTCCATGTGCAGTTCTGCACTATATGCATCTGGATCCGATACTATACCTTCAATCATAAAGCATTCTTCAACCATTTTGAAAGATGAAGCTATTCATTTATCATCAAATCAAGTGCACTATATGCATCCGGATCCTATAGTATTACTATATCAACCAACAAAGCTATCCACTTAGCAAAACGCACACATGGTCCAACCAGAAGTATATTCCTCGCAATCTATGCCATTTTATCTACTACCCAATAGCATACACGAGTAGACAAGTTTTTTCAGACTCTCAAGATACAAAATCACCAACATGCACAACACAATTGGGATTTGATTGTGTTTTACCTGCCTAAAAGCATGGGAATAGATATGTTAATCAGGTCAGAAACATATTGGCTTACCTTTTACTTAGGTAGGTAGCATTTGGAGCACAGATTAGATGAGAGAGGACATTTCTAATTATCTGTCTTGCTTTGGTAAGCTGGACAACACAGTACAAAACTGTTAAAATTACTAGATTTCCCCTAAAATATTGTTTAATATTTATTCCATCATATAATAGTTATCAATGACACAAATCAACCAAATATTTAAATAATTTGTATTTATAAAAATTATAAAATGCCAAATCACAAATAAGTGAATAACCAACATTAAAAGTTTTAATACCAGTAGTTTTAATAAAAAATACCAAACATATAAACATTCCAACACAACATACATCCAAATTTAAAAGTGTATCCACAAAATTACACAACATATTTTAAGACCATTAGTTGCCAGCATCTAAATCTGTCTTCACCAACTAGTTTAAAATCATCATCCAAGCCTTCCAAAATTGATACAATTGGTTAGTCCCTAAAACAAATACCCATATGTATGTTTCCATGGCACCAACCAAATCCCATTCTCTTCAACTCATTACTCAATCCATCCATGTTGGGTCTGATACCAATTTCTTCATCTGATTTGTAGCTTCATGAATTTCAGAATTTGTTTTCTCAGCTAGCTTCGATAGCTCATTGTATGACTTTTTTTTTCTGTTCCTACTCAATCCTTCTCCTTCATTGAAAGAGACAAGACAGATGCGGCATTTGAAGCACTTGGAATGGGGAAAACAACTAGTAAAGCAACAAAGCTGGAGCAACAAAGTTCATGCGTATACCTACTGTAAACAAAAACAGATCTTGTCTAAAAGCTAACAAAAACACAACATGGTATACCATTTTAAATGAAAACGCTGAACAATCTAAACATAAACATATATGAACAGATATACCATTTTAGCATTATGAACTATCAATCTAAACCCTAAACAAATATGAAAAAAAACATGTCTGGACCATCAACCTAAATCCTAAACAAAAAGCATTTCCCATTACCATTTTCATTCAAACTAAACCTATACATGGACATGTGCCATGCAACTCACATGTAAAAATCACAAGCAGTGAGCAACAATAGTTTGACATTGAGTTTTACAGGTTTCTACATAACATGTATAACATGATTAGATGAACTTTTCTAAAATTCAATCATAATAAGTTTGGAGGATGCCCAATATCTGCATTTCTAGCAAGTACCATTAAATAAAGAAATCTATTTTGACTTGTGTGCTCGTAACATTTATGGGCTATATGATTACAACAGCAAATTTGACAATTACCAGCTTGTCTAAGGAAATAGTACCCCTTAAAAGAGCTACGTAATATTCTTTATCTCATCAAACCTAGCATATCTCAAATATCAAATTGATGTGGACTTTCTTTAGATGTATATAACACCAAAAGTCCAAAAAAATTTCTATTGATGATACTTGTTATACATTTCAATGTCGTTTGATACTCATCTGACGTTTGAGATTCATTCTTACCTAATCATTCTCATTTGAACCTTCCTCTCTCTCTCTCTCTCTCTCTCTCTCTCTCTATATATATATATATATATATATATATGTATCTATCTATATATTATGTCATGTGTAAGCATATGTATGCACAGACAAACAACGAGACGAGAAACTTACAGTGTTAGTTCTGGGCCGAAGATGAACGTAATCCCTCAAAAATTCAAGTGTCAATCGCGTTTTGGGCAACGGATACTTAGCGGGATCCACAGTCCCAACATCTAAGACCTTCGAAACCCTAAGTTCAATCGACTGCTTCCCCTGTTTATCTTCAGGAGGCATCTGAAGCACGCCCTCCACGTGCAGGCACGTGCCAGTGGGAGTGAATTGGCCTAGCGGCGCTACATCGGAGTAAATTATCAGTTGAAGGTTCGCCGGACAGGATCCATCGTTAAGTTCAAGGAACGCAAATGATCCCTTGCCTTGTTCTCTCCCTTTCTTCACCCAACCGCCTACCTTCAAGGTCTTCCCGGCAAGACCAGCGCCGCCATCAGGACGGCCTAAAATTGATCGGATCAGAACACGTTGTGAGAATTCGGCTTCTTCGACAGTGTCGGAAATTGTTAACTTATCGACCGGCAGCACTCCATCATCTGCCATTGGTGGTAGCTTGAAGCAAAATGAGTGCTGATTGTGTCTCTAAACCCTAACTACTTTGTGACTGCAATGTGTCCGTATTATACCATTCATATCTCATTGTTACACATTCACCCCTCCAACTATTGAGTTATTGTCATGAGTCAGCATTATGTTTGAATTTGATTTTCATAGTTATTTTAGACAAAAATACAAATATGAAATATTTATATAATTACAAAAAAATAATTATAAAATAAAGTAAATTACAATTTTGGATAATATGGTTTGCAACTCATATATGTTTAATCCATACAACTTAAAATATACAACAAAAAATTTATGATTTGCATTTTGTTTCCGATTTTAGTACTTTACGCTAATAGTTACTTTATCAAATGATTTTATATATTTAAGAGCAGTTTGGTCATTTTACATATATTTTTATTAGTTTTCTTTTATCATGTGAGTTTTCATTTCATGTGTACAATTATTAAAACATTTAAGAAAAAACTAAAGTTGTTTAAGGGTTGTTAGGTATTGGCTTATGGGCTGACTTAAGCCGGTATGACTTATTCGTTGGTCATACATTGTTGTTCGCTTTTGGCTTATTCCATCACCCGATGGCTTAACTGGTCAACCGGAAAAGTTGAGTCATATGAACTTAGCCACTTATTCAACCCTTTATTCAAAATCCGTTATTTCCCTCTTTTCCCCCAAAAATGAACCATACCTACGTGGATCAATTCATTCCCTGCCAACCCTACCGTTACTATTCACGAAAGACTCCAGTTGCTCCTGTTTTTCTTGCTACTGACAGTTGGGCGTTGCTTGCTCCTACAGTTGATGGAATTCCGGCGGCTGGTTGTACCTTCTCAACAGTGGAGGAGCATACAATCTGTTGTACTGAACACGTCTTCGACCGAAATTTGACATGCCTAAAAAAAACCTACACAATAAAGTTGAGGGTTTCAAGTGATGATCACCGAAACCCAGAGAGAATACATATAGATATACGTATATCAAATAATCATGCACATATGTATCAATGTTTGTGCATAAATGAGGGGAAGTTTTATTTGATTGAAACTAAACAACTGGTTTTCAAGGTTTAAACTGCGATCGAAGTTATACAAAAGTCTTTTAGGGTTTTGAAGAGAAAGGAAATCGGAGGCAAGAGAGAGAAATGGGTCTCTAGCAAGTGTTACTTTGGTTTGACAATGGGAGGGATGAAGGGGAATAAACCGACTGGAAGTGAGGATGCATTTGTATTACCATGTGCTTTATTTTGTGGTGAATGTCATTTGATCTACTTGTTGTTCTTGTTATGGGAACCTGATGTAATAAAATTAATCCGCAAAAATTTACAATTAAAAGTAAGTTGTTCAACATTTTTATCAAACTGTTGTTTTATTCAGACAAAAATAAAGACCGGAGGTAAAATGGTAATTTATGATATTCATATTGTTTATTCAGCACAACAACTGAACAACAACTTATTTGTTAATATACACACGACTATATCAATACGAACATTTATATTCATACAGATCTTAACAAAAAACGAACCAAACAACCTCTAACCCCTCAAATCGGCCTCCCCCATATTCAACGAGTCCAGTGGCACCACCGGCGGCCTACACCCATCTCCCACTCCCCTCCATTTTTTTAACTCATAATTTTCCCATCTTATCCCTTTTATGCTTCCCATTCTCTTTCTCTCTCCCTTTCTCTTCCCCATACATATACATATATATATATATATACATATACATATATCTATATATACATATATAGGGGCCTAATCAAATGAGAACTAATTAGTTTGTGGTAACTGTAATAACCAATGTGAGCCAATCATTTAAATAATTAATGTTATATCCTAAAATAACATAAAGGGTAAATTGGTAATGTTTATAAATCATAAAACCCTAACCCTCTTGTTCTTCCTTCTTTCATCGACTAACCCTCTTTTCCTATTGCTGCTTCTTCTTCTTCATCAAGCCGGCCGACGATCTTCTTCATCAAGCTGGCCGACGATAACGCCGCCCTCTCACTCCCGCTGGAGATTGAACAAGGTATTGCTTTCATAACTTGTCATGTTGGATCCGATTCCATCAACAATAGAAGATAGAGGACCATTCATCACAGGGGCAGATCGGCTTCGCCTCCCTCCCGTGGAAACCCAATCTAAGATGCGGCGGCACAAACCTATTCGTCTTTGGCAACACCGACGAATCCTTACTCTGTATCAGAGGAAACGTCAGATGAGACAATGGTGGAGCCAACCCAGTTCGACCGAGTGGGCGGAGGGAAATAGAGTCCGATTCTACCCGAGGCTGATCTGGTGGTTGTGTAGCAGGAGGAGGAGATGGTTGCCGAGGAGAAACGATGGGTTTGGGAGATGGGCGACTCAAGACAAGCATGTTTCCACA